CAAAAGGCAACAATCCACTAAAGCAACCCCCAACAAAATAACTTCTACAATTTATAAGACTTCCACTCATTCTTGGTATGGGAAAATGGTATTCACTTCTTGGGGTGTTTGGTCAGAGACATACAAAGAACGATTGCTCGCTAGTTTTTAATTTCATTCTTTAGATTTTAACTGATTAATGATTTCTGATTCTTTATCTTTCTATTTCACAGGCAAAACACTTGCAGAAAGGATGTTCTGACTGCCTAATGTTACTTTGTCAAGTGTGGTGCAAGCTTCAAGCGCAGGACATTCAGGTCTCTCCTACTGCAGATGAAAACAGCAAAAGAATAGATGCAAAAAATGTTACACTTCTTAAAGATACCTGGCCATCATTTTCTTTCTTCTTTCTTCATTTTCTCATCTTTTCTTCTAACACAGGTTAGGGCACAGCAATAGAGAAAATTTATAGAGATGTTTTTTTTGCTGACAGTTCAAATGCAACTGGGAAAAGACTTGGATTTCCTAAGACTGGTTCTATTCACCTTGGAGCAAACCTGAAAACTGCGTTTCTCTGGTCCCACCTCACCAGTAGACGTGTAGAACATACAGTCAGCAGTATGCAAAGAGTGCTTTGATGTCATCTTAGAACTGATGTACATCTGGGTAGAGAAATCACACCCTGAACTCAGAGCTCACCCATTCCCTTTGTCATGGTCCTTCTCCTGGTGTAGAAAATGCTGTCAGAGATTGATAAGCCTCATTACTTCCAGGCACTTCTTTTCAGCATAGAGTGAGCTAGCTGAATAAAGCTTTCTACACCCACTGTCCTGCAGCCTAGCTGAACTCAAAGGCCAACTCAGTCCAAACACAGAGACCTCTTGAGATTTCTGGAAATGTTTTCAATGATGTTTGGGTGACCAGTGGCACGTAACTCACTGTCAGAGTCAGTACTTCAAATGAAGCAAGCTGCCCTGTCCACCAGCTCCCACATAAGTTACACTGCCAGGCTGTTTCTTCACCCCCTGAGCACAGTCAGCTGCTTGCCATTTCTTTAAATCAAACACCCAGTCATTATTTCTTGCCAGACAAAACTCACCAACGTTGCTTAATTAAATGAGTAGAAAGAAAACATACAGAAGTAAACCTGTCCCTGCAGTGATCATGTGCCAGCTTCAGTTTTGCTTCTTGGTTTCAGATTTCTCTTCCCAATATACACAGATTACTAAATAATGCAGGCAGCATTAAGTACTGCGGACTTTGGCCTTAATTACTAGTGGTGAGGCTCATAAAAATGTTCCCATATAGGATGAAGGGCAACTGCTCAAGTACACACTGCAGGAAACATCTGGAGTGTGTGAAGGAAGTTTTCTGGTCTACTACTTCACCATTTGACCAGAGGAGGATCTCTGTGGATTCTGGAATTAAGGGTATTTCTGTGATTGCATCTAGACTGCAAGAGCAAATCTGGGACGTTCCTGAAGGCCCTACTCACCACTGCTTTTGGAGAAGACAGAAGGGAGGATGCACTGCGATGAACAACTTGCAGACTTATCATTACTAAAGGTACAGAGCTGCTGTGAGCCCTGATGAGGATGCTTATGTGGGGAATGGAAGACCTCCCTTCAGTCAGGGAAGAGGTGGTCTGGGAGCGCCCAGGCAACACCAATGTTCACAAATCCATGGGACCCGATGGGATGCATCCACGGGAGCTGAGGGAACTGGCAGAGGTGATTGCTGAGCTGCTTTTGGTCATCTTTGAGAAGTCTTGGAGGACGGGGGAGGTGCCGGAAGAGTGGAGGAGAGCCACTGTCACTGCGGTCTTCAAAAAGGGCAAGAAGGAAGATCCAGGTGATTACAGGCCAGTCAGCCTCACCTCTGTCCCTGGAAAGGTGATGGAACAGCAGTGCTGGATGTCATCTCCAGACAACTGGAAGAAAATGAGGTTATCAGGAGTAGTCAGCATGGGTTCACCAGGGGGAGGTCGTGCTTGAGCAACCTGGTGGCCTTCTATGATGTTGTCTCTGGCTGGGTGGATGGGGGGAGAGCAGTGGATGTAGTCTACCTTGATTTCAGCAAGGCGTTTGATACTGTCCCCCACGACATCCTTATAATAAAGCTGAGGAAGTGTGGGATAGATGAGTGGACAGTGAGGTGGGCTGAGCACTGGCTGAGTGGCAGAGGGTCGTCACTGGTGGTGCAGAGTCTGGTTGGAGGCCTGTAAGCAGCGGTGTTCCTCAGGGGTCTGTGCTGGGTCCGGTCTTGTTCAACATCTTCATCAATGACCTTGATGAGGGGATGGTGGCCACCCTCAGCAAGTTTGCTGATGATACAAAGTTGGGAGGATTGGCTGACAGCCTGAAGGCCGTTGTATGGGAACTGCTGAGTCATGGCCTGAACCTCTGATTGATCACCTGAGGCGAGCCATGAGTCAGCCAGAGGAGCAGAGGTGAAGGCAATTCACCTGTGCTGCCGGAAGGGGTGGAGCCAGGCTGCACCCCTCCTAGACCTATTTAAGAGCTGGCTAGCAGTGGGGAAGGATCTTTTCTGGAGATTGCCTCTTCTGGTGTTTTGTAGGTGAGCCCAGCATAAGGGTAAGCCTTCCATTTATTCTCTTTTATTATCATTCTCTACTTTGCCTAACTCTCCTGATTTTATTGTGATTGTAACATCTTGATATCCATTGATTATACAGCCGTGCTGCCATTCAGCGAGACCTGGAAAGGCTGGAGAGCTGGGCAGTAAAAAACCGGATGAGGTTTAACAACAGCAAGTGTAGAGTCTTGCATCTGGGGAGGAAGAATGGCATGCACCAGTACAGGTTGGGGGATGAGCTGCTGGAGGGGAGCTCTGTGGAGAGGGACCTGGGTGTCCTGGTGGACGACAGATCGGCCATGAGCCAGCAGTGTGCCCTTGTGGCTAAGAGGGCCAATGGCATCCTGGGGTGCATTAAAAAGAGCGTGGCCAGCAGGTCGAGGCGATCCTCCCCCTCTGCTCTGCCCTGGTGAGGCCTCATCTGGAGCACCGCATCCAGTTCTGGGCTCCCCGGTACAAAAAAGACAGGGATCTCTTGGAAAGAGTCCAGCAGAGGGCCACCAAGATGGTGAGGGCCTGGAGCATCTCTGCTATGAGGAAAGGCTGAGTGAACTGGGTCTGTTCAGCCTTGGGAAAAGAAGGCTGAGAGGGGACCTGATCCAGGTCTATCAGTATCTGAGGTGTGGGGGGCAGAATGGCGAGGCCGGACTCTGTTCAGTGGTGAGTGGAGACAGGACAAGGGGAAACGGCCGGAAACTGCAGCATAGGAAGTTCTGCACCAATGTGCACAAGAACTTCTTTACAGTGAGGTGACGGAGCACTGGAACAGGCTGCCCAGGGAGGTGGTGGAGTCTCCTTCTCTGGAGATGTTCAAGACCTGCCTGGACACCTGCTTATGCAACCTGGTGTAGGGAACTGCTTTGGCAGGGGGTTGGACTCGATGAGCTCTGGAGGCCTCTTCCAACCCCCACAATTCTGTGATTCTGTGATACTTGACCCTGCAGCCCCCAACAGGACCTCCCTCCCATCCCCAATAGCATTATGCTGCAGATACTTTGTATGAAACTGTAGTTTCAAGACTTCATTATTTCTAACCACGACCATTCAAAAGGCACGTGTACAGGATTGTGCTGTACTCTCTTTGCAGAACTGAGAAAACAAACACCTCCTGAGCATATAGAGTCAGACTGCCCTGTTTTATAGCAGGTACTCTGTAATACTAAACCACAAATGCTTTTGCTTTTTGCCCTACACACATCTGTTTAGCGAGTGAAGTGTTTGTACGGGGTAGAGTACAGCTAGGAATGCAGAATTATTGTGACCCCAAGGAATTGTGAAATAAATTCTCTTAGCTTCTGTGGCAGACATTCCAATTAAAATGGAATGGGCTGCCCACAAAGGTGGCAGTCACCATCCAGGGAAGCATTCAAGAAATGCTTAGCATTCAAGAAATGCTTAGATGTTCCGTGAAGGGACAGAACATGGGGGAATATTGGCGGTAGGTGGAAGTTTGGAGCGGATGATCTTGGAGGTCCTTACCATCTTTGGTGGTTCAGTGATTCTACGCTATGAAAAGGGAATAAACGATGGATTTTTCTCCTTCTGCTAAGCTCGTTTGTGCGTTTTTCAGTGTCTGCTCAAGGACTTTCCAAGTGTGAGAATCCTTCTTTGGTTGTTTTTTTTTTTTTTTTTTTTGGCTGAAAGCTTGCTTCCTGAGGTTTTTCTTGTGATAAGACTCGGAGTGACTTGTCAAGGAGGCAACTGATGGGTGCTAACTGTGTGACAATCGATATCGCTTTGGGAACATTTGCAAGCCCCTTCCCCCAGAGCTGCTTGCTCTGTAGAAGAGCGGAAGAGAGTGCTCAGCAGTGTTCACTGGAGGAAGATCTGGCCTGTGGCCAAACAGCTCCAGCTAAGAATGGAAGGCTGGGGGATGATGCCATTGCATCCTGCGAAGGCAAGATGCAAGTTGGTGCCTCCCTTCTTCCTCTTATCTGCTGGCAAGGCCAGAAAGATAAGAACAAAGGAGGTTCCTGCTGAGATCCCAGAGCCAGAAGCTGCCACCGCAAGGAGAACTGACTCAACCACCTTGGGTTTGAGCTGTCACTCAAAGGAGAGCTGATTCGACCACTTTGGATTTGAGCTGTCACTCCAAAAAACAGCTGACTCAACCACTTTGAAGCATTGAAAAAAGGACCATCATCACCATGGTCGTCGTCGTTGGCAACAGGACAACTCTGCCTGACGACCCACCGCTACTGAAGATCAAAGACTGAACTACGAACCTCGCTGGATCCATGGTGGTGACTGTGTCCCTCTTGCTGCCTATAATAACCCCTTGCTTCTTCTTTCCTATCTTTTCTATCGCCCTCCTTCCCTTCCCCATTACCCTAATTCATAATAGTGTCCGTCCTCCCCTTCCCCATTTCCCTGATTAAGATTTGTAATAAACTGGTTGGACCAACATTTGAACCGTTGCTTCTTAATCTCATGCCGGGTACATCGATAATAAAAGAACCTCCTCTCCCTCCTAGAAATTGGAGCGAGACACCAAGGAAGTGACCTCTGTGTGATATCAGTGGAGTGAACTATTCCTGAAATTACAGCTGTTTTTCTCTTAGGGATCAACACGCACTGTGTAGGAGCCATTCATATGTTATCCATGCCAGAAGCAAATCCGTGATAACTCCACCTGCACATCCTGTATGTCCTGCAAATGTTCTTCCTCACAGTACAAGCAGGCATTCCTTAAAAAGAGGCACACCACTCAAGCAAGAATTACATTTGCAGCAATGCTTGCCCAGTGTGATAAAAATTTTTCTGCCAGGCAGTGAAAGGGTCGAGGGCTGACATCTGAGCAGCTTTAATGAGTTTCCTGTAACTGCACAAAGTCCAATGGCACCATATGCTTCCTGTAACTGCATTGTTTCAGTTCAAGTGAAAGCCAGCTCAGCCGAGAAGAAACACCACTGAGGTGAGAACTCTTTCAAGGTGAGTTGCTGTATCTTTATATAAATTCAGCATTATTCTTTAAGAATGCATCACTGTGTCTAAAGGAATGCAGCTTTCTTTAATTGTGTTAAACTCCTGCGGAGAAGGATTTAGGGGTCCTGGTGGATGAGAAGCTGGACATAAACCAGAGAGCCAGCAGTGTGTGCTTGCAGCCCAGAAGTCCAACCGTGTTCTGAGCTACATTACAAAAAGGGTGGCCAGAAGGGAGAGGAAGGTGATTTTCTCCCTCTACTCAGGTCTTGTGAGGCCCCATCTGGAGTTCTGCAACCTGGCCTGGGGCCCCAAGCACAAGAAAGATATTGGAATGGGTCGAGAGGAGGTCAACTAAGATGATGGAAGGATAGAAGAAAGCACTACCTGTGCCTCAGATACACTAACCAATCGCCCCAGTAGTCCAAAGTCTCTCTCGCCTGCTCTTGGGCTTTTCTTCTAAACCGAATCTGTATTGCCCACGATGTGAATTGAAAAGTAATTTTCCTTTCTTTGTGTCGATGAGGAACTTTGTTGTCCTTTTTTCCTTTCTGATTAGCAGAGGAGGGGAAACTGGATAGATTGGCTTGGTGATGCCAGTCCAGGCCTACAAGCTACAGTCCTTTGAAAATAGCTTGCTCAGGATCACTTCCAGAACTGGAATTAGTTTGAAGGGAAAGGCAGAAATATGACTTCATTCTCTGCCTCGGTGGAAAAGAATGGCAGGTGTCAGGCACCTCCTGCTGCATCCTGCAGATGCCGGAAGTGTTTGGCAGTTTGACCATTTATGTGAGTGTAAGGATAATCAGACAGCTGCACTGCCCCCAAAGTGTGGTAGTGACCAGAATCTGGTCATCCCACTGACTCTGCCTGCTGCTCTCCCGGCCCGTGGCAACCACAAGGTTCAGAAAGATATTTCTCTTTTGTCTTCAGACTGGCCTTTTAGGAAAGGATTGGAGAAAGCAGAAAGCAGGAGATGTCTTGGGAGCCAGGTAAGAGTGGAGTTTCTTGTGTGTTTAGATGCGATGTAAGAGAAAGAGAACCTGGGATACTATGAAAAGTCCATGACTTCAGGGGAGCATCTAAGGCCTTCCTCTCACCTCTTGCCCCTCTTCTGCTCACAGAAGCATCATCCCAGGTCACTTCAGCTACGGGGGATGTGACTGCCCTCCCCTGGGTGTACAGCAGGACTCCTGTGTCCCAAGAGAGTAAGGCAGAAGCACAGAGAGCAACAGCCAAGCAAAATCATGCTAAGAAAATCACAGGGAAGGGCAGCACAGAGGATGGATCTCCCAGTCCTAGCAATGCCGTGTCTTAATTTCACCCAATTAGAAGGAAGTAATTAGCACTGCAATTAATTTCAATAGGTTTCAGTGTGAGTGGGTGACTACGTTAAAGATGCTACGATGGCATTGGCAAGAATTCTACGTACAGCATGGGAAAAATGCCCCTGGAAATTCTCTGACGTATTCAACGCGCTGTCTGCAAGATGGTTTTTCTACTAATATTTTTTCTTGTTTCCATATTTCTTAATTTATTCATTTTTGCATTGCAGAACTTCCTCTCTCTGCGTCTGCTATAACGATACATGAGAGTGGTAAGGTCAACATGGAGAGTCGGTATAATTCTTATGGATAATGACAGTATAGAAAGAGTGCTTGTTGCCAAACATAGTTTTGGTAGTCTATGTCACAAATACACATGTTTGAAGTAATCTTTTGTCTTTGCAATGTGGAGACCAGGAACCAGACATTTACAAGCTAAAGATGCATAAATAAGAAGAGTCTCATGAGGAAAAGAGGCTTCTAAGATCACACTGTACAATCTAAACTCTTTCATTGCATAAGAAGCCTGAAGCTTTAAAAAAGGCATTCATTCTGTCACTGGAACTGTTAATACGCCTTAAAACGACATGTTCTGTATTTCACACCAAAGCAGTGACACAAAGGGGTCTGCTCTCAATTCAGTGAGACCAGACCAACATCGGACTTTCACAGAATGTATTTGCTGTGTTCCCTACTGGAAAGCAAATGAAGCCTTAGGAAGAGTTCATGATCCCCTTGGAGGCATCCCTGATCCAATAGCTATGGGTACAAACTGCTTTTCCTATGACTGTTGATTAAAACCCTGATTGCCTTTCCCAGCTTTCGGCAACGTACCAGAGCGTGGCGCTCAGAACAAAAGTAGAGTGGATTCACATAACAGAAACGAGGGAAGATTCTCTAAACTGAGAAACGGAAAAGGAATACCAGAAACTCAGGAAAGAGGTAATTATAGCTGAGAGAGGACTTCTGCCCACCATGCAGGACACTCAGCCCAGGGTTGGCCCTTCTCCTCACCACACAGCCGCATCCCGTCTCTGTGGAGCTTTCTCTGCAGTTTGAGATGTGGATCACACCCTCTGCCCAGAGTCTGACGTATCCCATTATCCTCTCCCCACTGGAAAAACTGTAGTGGCAGTGAAGAGCAAACCACCTTCCCCCTGGGCTGCCTACATGACGCGTTATTTCACAAAAGCTGCTCAGTATGTTCGTGTGGTTCTTCACTGAGAAAAGCTTTCTTACATTTCCTCTTTTCTGCATCTTTCATCTGAACATAAAGATCCAGAATCCCAGCAAAATTCTTGCAGTGTGGAAGAACTAAGGAAGAAATTTGAGCCTCCGGGTAAGTATGTTGGATCGTATTTATGTAGCCTATTATCGTATCACAGATCATGTTGGGTGTTACATGTGAGAGTGCAGGGAAATGTGCCCTGCGGGGTCTGTCCCTCTGAGCATGACTTAACTGTACACTACGTCCTGCAGCTCTGCGGGACCAAAGATCTCAGGCATCCTCAGTCCTGTACAGTGTGTGTTTATGAACTGGCTTAACTCAGTTCTGGGAGCTGGAGCAGGGCCCTGCAAAGCAAGCCAGGAGGGGGGCTGTGCATAAGGGCTGCTTTCAATGCCGTGAAGCAACTGTTCTTGGACAGACCAGGCTGATCCATCCCTAATATCAGGTCTCAGCTCATATTGCTCCCCCATCCTGGAGTTCTGAACAGTCAACTCCATGTGGGCAGTAGAGTGAGCGACGTGTTCCTCCCCTCTGCTCTGCTCTGCTCTGGTGAGGCCACATTTGGAATTCTGTGTCCAGTTCTTATCAGAAAAGGAGAAATTAAAAAAAGGAATATAGGAAGTTCCACAAAAATATACAGAGGACAAACTTTATAGTGAGAACTTCTTTACAGTGTTCCAGCAAACAGAGAGGTGGTGGAGTCTTTGGAGATGTTCAAAACCAATTGGACACCGACATGTGTGGCCTACTGTAGGGAATCTGATTTAGCAGGGAGGCTGGACTCCACAAGCTATAGATGTCCCTTCCAACCCTTGCAATTCTGTGACTCTGTGGTCCATAAGAGGTTGAGGGATCCTCAGGAAAGGAGCATTAAGTAATAGGGAATGCCCAGGAGGGAAGGACGAGCTCTACGTCCAGGAGATGTGGCCTATGGGAAATAATGACTTTCCTTTGTTCTCATTGCCCCCTACACTGCTTCTTGCAAAGGCTTCCTTGCAGGTCTTTGTCCTGCAGAACAATTAAGTGTAGATGTCCCAGAGGGCACATCGTGACCTGGAGAAGGGTGAATCATACAGGTATTTGCCAGGCCAGACCAGTAGTGATCTGTGCCTGGACAGAACTGAGTCTGTGCAGAATCCCATCCTTCCTGGCACGTAGGACGTGCTCTTTTCCTGCCCCTGCTCTTTCCAGGTGGCCTGTTGTTGTGGTTTAACTACAGCCACAGATTAGAATTGGAGCACACCACAGATGCTTGCTCACTCTCAAACCTGCTTCAAGGAAAATGAGTGCAGGTAGAGAAACGGAATGGACTAAGTCAGAAAACTCAGGCATGGTTGTTGTAAAATGGTTGCCTTGTTGCTCATGTTTTCAGCCTTAACCCACGGGCCAGAGAAACCCCCACAGAAGGGAAGCAGAGTGGATTCACCAAAGAGAGTCCAAGCAAACTTCTCCAAGCAGAGCAAGGGGAATGAAGATCCAGTAATTCTGGAAAGAGGTAACCGGGGCTGGGAGAAGAACTCTGCACACAATGTTGGACCCTCAGGGTTGGCCCTACTACTCAACTCGCTGCCACATTCCCCCTCTGTGGGGCACTCTTTGCAGTTTGGGAATTGTCTCACCTCCTGCCATCAGAGTCTGGCAGTCCCTCACTGTACACACTGCAGTTGGGCTGATGTATCACCACCTCCTGGCTGCATTGCCATCACGTGCACATGTAATTTCCTCATCTGGGTTGGAGTTCTCCTCATTCTCCTTCCATCAGGAATTGGAATTGGTGCTGGCTTAGCACTTGGATGGCTGTGGACTTTCTCCTCTGCAATAGGACTGTGTGATAGAGACCTGAACTCTTCTCACTTAGAATCCTCAGAGTAGGAAGGGACCGCTGAAGGCCAACTAGTCCAATTCCCCTGCAATGAAGAGGGGCACCACAGCTGGATCAGGTTATGGAGGGCCCTACCCAGCCTCACTGTAAAAGATTTTTTTCCTTCTATCCAACCTAAATCTACCCTCTTTGAGCTTGAAACCATTTCTCCTTGTTCTATTACCACAGGGCATTGATAAAAAGTCTGTCCCCTTCTTTCCTGTAGCTCCCCTTTAGATACTGAAAAGCCACTATCTGGTCACCTCGCAGTGCTCTCTTCTTCAGGCTGCACAGCCCCAGCTCTTTCAGCCTGCCCTCTAGATGTCTTCTACTCCATTCCACTCAACCATTTTTATGTCTCTTCCCTGATTGCACTCCAAAAGATCTATGCCTCTCCTGTACTGAGGACAAGCTTGCTGAGATGCACAGGACCTCACCATCAATGTCACTGATGAAAATATTAAAGAGTATCAGCCCCCAGCACCGACTTCTGGGGGCATCTTGTATCACCCCACATCCATCCAGACACTGAGCCACTGACCACCACTCTCTCGACTTGATCCTGCACCCAGTTCTTTCTCTATCAAACAGCCCACCCTTCAAATTCAAGGAATGGACCAAGTTGGGAAAGTCAGGCACTGTTGTTGTTAAATGTTGACCATGCTGCTGTCGTTTTCTTTTTCAGCCTTAAACCACGTGCCAGAGAAATCATCCCAGAAGGAAAGCAGCGTGGATACA